GTTGCGGTTTCACTTGAGAACAAAGAAGTGAGCGCTCTCAGTTTCTCTCTGCTTAGAGCATATGCTCTAAGTGATGTAAGGTCAATGTCCCTCAATTTGTTATCTTTGGTGAAAGTTTTCGTTGATCGTTGATTTTGATTTGATAGATTTTTTCCCTACTTTTTATTGTTTCTGCAAAATGAGTAAAAAGTTGATACTGGATGTCCTCAAAAAAACAAGATCCTCTTCAAAAATAATTAATAAACAAGAGGAACTTAAAAGTGAAAGTGAGAATGATAACGACTCGATCACATCAAAATATTTCGATATTAAAAGAAAACGAAAGCGTAATTCCGTGAAAATCCAATCAGACACTAAAACAATTGATGAAGAAACAAAGAGCAAAATTAATGAAATAAATACCGAATCAAATCCTCACGAACATAATGCAGTTGACGATAAAATTAAAAAACGTAAGAGTATTCAATCAGAAAATGAATCGAACACTGAAACAATTAATAATGTGATTAATAAAGGAACAAATAGCAGCATTAATGAAGTAAATACTGAATCAAAGCCTGAGACATGCGAAACAATTAACAATAAGATAAAAAATCCAATCGAAACAGTGGTTAACCCTAACAAGTGGATGCCCCAAAACTGGGAGGTTATGTTAGAAAATATTAGGAAAATGCGATCGAACGAAACGGCTCCAGTGGATTCCATGGGCTGTCACAAGTGTTCGGATCCAAACGCAGATCCAAGAATCTCCAGGTATCAATTTTTGGTCCAAGTAGTATAAAAAATTCGTAACCCTAAACTTGAAGGAGTATCTCTTGGTACACAACATGTGATATTTTTTCTTTATTCAATGTATTAAAAATTCTGAAAAGAGTCAGAATATGTGAATAGTATATGTGAGAATTTTTACAATTTTCAATGCAAACTAAAGTAGGAAAAAGTTATTATAGCATATTCATTCATTTACAGGTATCAGTCTTTAATCGCACTGATGTTGAGCAGCCAGACAAAGGACCAGGTCACCCACGCAGCTATGCAGAGACTTAACACCTATGGCTGTACGCCAGAAATAATCATGAACACTCCTGATGACGTTTTAGAACAGTTAATCTACCCTGTTGGCTTTCGTAAGGTATATATTGATAAATATAATTAAAACTATGACAATTTATGAATGAAACATTGAAGAGATTCGATGAACGAATCAATAATTATTCTAGAAAAAGGTGCAGTACATAAAGAAGGCGTCGAAGATCTTAATTGAAGAATATAAGTCTGATATTCCAAGGACATTGGAAGATTTGTGCAAATTGCCGGGAGTTGGACCGAAAATGGGGCACATATGCATGAGAATTGCTTGGAACGAGGTCTCTGGAATTGGAGTCGATACTCATGTTCATAGAATTTGTAATAGGATTAGTTGGGTGAGAAAGAGGACGAAAACTCCGGAAGAAACTAGAATGGATTTGGAAGAATGGTTGCCTAAGCATTTGTGGTGTGATGTTAATCATTTATTAGTTGGATTTGGGCAGGAAATTTGTTTACCGAGGTTTCCAAAATGTGAATCATGTTTGAATAAAGATATCTGCCCTTCGAGCACGATTAAAAATAAGAAATAAGGGAAACAGTATATTTTTATAATTCTTTCTCAATTACTTGTTAATTATTGACGGTAGCGAGAAATGTTTTAAACGAAAGTTGTAGCTCCGACTGTTAGCTACAAGTAAGCTTGTATGCAATTCTCCTTTAGGTCCAATAGTGCAGGAATAATTAAGAAAAAAAAACGAAACTAGGTAAAAATGTAATAATTTAAATCGGTTTTAATTAATTCGTTAATTGTTGGACTTGAAAGAAAATTGTATAGAATCTTAGTTTTAGTTGACGAGTGCAAATTTAGAGCTACAACTTTTGTTTAAAATAGTTATTGCTAGCATCAATAATTAACGAGTTAGTGATAATAAATCGAAATCGACAATACCTGGAAGTGTCACAAAAATTTGATTTTCGATTCTTATAAGTTACTCGTAAATTATCGATGCTAGCGAAAAATGTTGCAAGCAAAAGTTATAGCGGTAGTAGTCTATCACAAATAAGGTGCTCTATTATTTGTAACTCCAATGATTAACGAGTTATTAACAATAAACTGGTACTCTATTAAAAAATCCTATACTGAGGAATCTATATCATACTCATGATGATGATTATTAAGAAAATATTGGATTTGCAAAAAAATTATACAGAACTATATTTG